GGAAGGGTAGTAAGGGCCCGGATCTCAACGGGGAGATCGTTCCAGAGGGCCGGAGCAGCCACAGAGAAGGCCCTCCCCTGCGGAGTTGCCAGCCGACATTGGCTGGCAGATGGAATTCGGAGGAGGCCTCATCTGTGGGCTCTAATAGGCCTTTGGGAGGTAATTGGCAGGAGGCGGTCTCTCAAGTAAAGAGTCAGGTTGTAAGTCAAGGATTCCCTGTAGTGATGCTGAAACAGCAGAACTGTGGTCCTCATTGGGTGCTTGGAAGAAAGTCAGGCTTGGTGGATCTGCTGTCTTCATGTTTCTCTTTTCTCTTCAGCCAGGGCAGCACTCCTGACAGGCCGTCTCCCTATAAGGAATGGCTTCTATACCACCAATGCCCATGCCAGAAACGGTAGGTCCTCTTCCTGCAAGCAAAGCCAAGGGAAAGACCTGGCTTCAGGGTTTCATGTTAAGGGAGACTTACAGGGTGCATTTGGCTAACCTGTAAAGAGAGAGGAACAGGCAACCTCAGAATGTTTTTTGCATGATCATTTAAACCACCACAAGGATCTCCATTGAGGTCTTAAAAAAAGTCTTTCCAAGCAGTCTTAATGCAGCTTGTATTCTAGAATTTGAATCAAGTCTGTGCTGGCTTCTGTGCCGAATGGGTTAAGGAACATTTGACAAAAGAGGAATTGAAGGAGTCGTGTGTTATTGTAGTTTAAGCAATCTGCTTGAAATTTACTCTCTTAGCAGAAATATGTTCTCTAAACTCGGCAAGGGCATCTGGAGGGCATCACTAAGCTGCCCATAATGAGCACTTTGCTCCAGGATTTTTATGGGGAGATGCCAGCTTGAGCTGATCGGAGGCCAATCGAGCTGGCATTAGAATTGTTTGTTCCAAAATGGCAGATGCCGGAGGAGACCATATGTTTTGAAGCATGCATTTGCAGCCCCAGATTGATGCATGCTGCATGCCGGCAAGCGTGGGTGTTTCTCTTTGCTGGAAGAGGAGGGGGGGCTTTCCATAGAATGACAAGGGCAAGAGAGTCATGGAAGAATGTGTGCAGCATCTAAAATAGGCTAAGGGCCTCTGCGTTGCCTTTCTTGGTGATGGCTTCACAGAGATGTGCTAGCTAAGGTAATTGAAAAGTCCTGCTAAAATGGCTGTGCTGGGAGTTACAAGGTTCTCAGTTGAGCTCTCAATGACATTTAATAGTTCTTGAAGGTAGAAGTCTTTTCCGGTCCACCTCATTCAAAGATGAGCTTCAGGGCCCCGAAAGAAGCAGATGACTGAATCAGGATCTGCTCTAGGTTGGGGCAGAGCACGAAGGTAGAATCAATCATACAGGTAGTCCCTTGATTTGCAACAATTGAGTTCAAAATCTCTGTTGCTAAGTGAAACACCTTTCTTGCCATACTTAAGTGAATTCCAACAGTTGCTAAATTAATAACACAATTGTTAAGTGAATCTGGCTTCCCCATTTACCTGGCTTGTCCGAAGACAAGACACAAGACATGGCAGCCATCATAAATAGGCCCCATCTGCATTTTGATCACGTGATCAAGGGGATGCTGCAACAGTGTGGAAAATGGCCATAAGTCACATATTTCAGTGCCGTTGTAACTTTGGACAGTCACTAAACGAACTGTTGTAAGTCAAGGACTGCCTGTACTTCTTGTTGGCTTTTGGAGGAACTGAGAAGACAACCGTGTGGCCTTCCTAGTTCTTCTTGCCTCCCAGGAGCTTTCGTGCCGTTCATTGGGGCGTCTTCCTGGACCGGCTGTGGAGTTTGGGAATGGAAAGCAGGGTGGTTTCCTTCCCTTCTCCAAGGCTGGCTTTAGGCGGTGTTGATAGGCGGGGAGATGTCCAGCCTGCAGTCCCCGGCACCATCTAGAGCCAGTATTAACTTGGGTGGCCTTGTAAATCTAAATAAATACATATCTTCTCAAGTCTCTTGGGCTCGTTCTGTACCTTGTTGAAAGCCTACTTCTCTGCTTGCTTGTAAAGAAAGATGGGTGAGATTTGCTGCTCAGTAGGAGACGCACAAATTTGCTGGATTAGTCTTTTATCCCTTTTGTATTCTGTGAATTTAAAAAACCCAGTCTAGCCTTTTGCTTTTCCTGCTGTAAAGAATTAATGGGAAGTGAATGCATACCTTGAACGGATCCCAAGGGAGTGTTGTTGGAATCTATTCTTGGCGTGTTTGCCGTAGTCTGGATTAGAGGTCTCTAAGTCCTGTTCAGGAGAGCACCAGCTCACCAATCCAACTCCTGTGGCTTGTTCATCTAGCTAAATAGTGTTCTTGTCTTCATGCAGCCTACACGCCGCAGGACGTAACTGGGGGCATCCCGGATTCTGAGCTGCTCCTTCCCGAATTGCTGAAGAAAGCAGGCTATGCCAATAAGATAGTTGGCAAATGGTAAACTTCTTTTTCTGCCTACTTCACCTCTCTGTGCTTTTTGTAGGGGAACTGATCAGAGGTTCTTTTTCAGTCCATGAGTCTTCAGAAATCTAGGCAAGCTGTCTGGATAGCCGTGTGCCGTGATTGATTTCTGAGCTATCCATGTCCTTCTTCCATTTATTTTCATCACCACCGACAATGCTGCAGTGCTTGAACCAGGTTGTCAATTCTTCCAGTTTTGACTCCCTTGGAATACGAAGATGTGGGGCTTTCCTCGCAGAGGAGAAAGTGCCTCTCTCTGGTCCCAGTTAAATGTACCATTCCCACAGGAAAAAAAGGATTGATGGTGTTAGCGCACCTTCAAAGAGTCGGGCCATAATCTAGATGGGCAGAGGGTAAACAGAGAGCTGGTGAGCAAATATTGACCTCAATCTGCCTGCACTGCATCCCGGGAGCATCTTTAAATGAGCAAAGAGTTGGATCATTTAAATTGATGGCCCAACCTCTGTAGTGCTGGCGCAGGTGTTAAGAACAGAAACAGCCAGGAAATGATTCTCCCTACATAAATCATGGTTAAAAAGAAGCTTGCAGCAGCTGCAAAAAATAATGTGTTATTTGATCCACAAAAAATAGGAGAGACCCACCGAAGTGATAGAGTTCCTATTTATCACCTGGTTCATTAAGGTCCCTGATTGCTATATGGCAGATTATTCCCCACCCAGGTGCTCTCCAGAGAGGCTGCAGGCGTGTTGGGTAACAGATTCAAGCAGCATAGGGGCGGCTTAACTGGAAGAGGAAGTTCCTTGAAATGCTACCTTTCCAGGCAGCTGATTTCCAGCCTCGGCTGGCTCAGTCCAGGGCCAAAGATCTGCAGTTCTCCTGGCAGTTTTAGTTGCTTAGGCTCTTAGTTTAAACCCTGGAAGTTTGCTCTCCTCTCTAGTAAAATTCAAAGGAAGATTTGACCGAAACAAAAGCTCCAACGAGGGATGTGCAGTTATTTGACTCTGAAGTGGCCACGTGGCTCCAGCAAAAAAGGCCTTGTCAGGTGACAGGGATAGGCTGTGTAGTGCAGTGTTTCCCAACCTTGTCAACTTGAAGATGTCCGGACTTCAACTCCCAGAATTCCCCAGCCAGCATTCGCTGGCTGGGGAATTCTGGGAGTTGAAGTCCGGACATCTTCAAGTTGACAAGGTTGGGAAACACTGGTGTAGTGAATGCATATTTCCTGGGAATCACACGGGTCTCGTGCAAGCCCAGGAAAAACCACCCGGCTACGTTTCCTCCTGCACTTTTCTCCGCTGGAGGGCAATTTTGTGCCTGGCAGGCAAGTGCAGTTCCAGTGAGCCCTTTGTGGTTGCAGTTTCTCCTGGGCCTCACTGTGAGCAGCTTATTTTTTCGTTCCGTCCTTCTTCGCAATTGTTCCTCTGCCCCGCCAAAGAACCCGAGGGGCTGTTGAGCAGCTGAGAATAGCAAGGAGCAATACGTTGCTCACGCGTATTTGAGTATCAGAAAATGGTTTGGGTTATAAATTGCCTTAGGAAATTCCTGGTTTTGAAAGATAGCACCGCAATTAAAAAAAATAAATAGGCAGCATTGCTCAGGGCAGGACAGAGAGGAAGGAGCCGAGCAAAGAAGCTTTAGAAGTGGGAGGAATTAACTAAAAAGATTGAAGAAGTGCCATAAAGTAAAGAAGTGTTCCAATGCTTGCTACTTGGCTGTGGGTGTTATTTCCATCCTCGTTTCCTGAATTGTGATTTTGGGGGGGGGATGGTATTGAAGGTAGGAGCTGTTGGCTGTGTCTGATGCAATTCCCGACCCCACTTTGGCTAATAATCTTTTCTAGGCACCTGGGCCACCAACCTCAGTTCCATCCCTTGAGGCATGGCTTTGACACCTGGTTTGGATCTCCCAATTGCCATTTTGGACCGTACGATAACAAAGCTACCCCCAACATTCCTGTTTATAGGAATTTGGAAATGATTGGCAGGTAAGCTTCCTTTTTTACATCACTTCTTTGTTCCTTTCCTAGTTTTGCTCAACTGGTTTTGAGCGTTGTTATCATGGGCAGTTTGGGCTGCATTCTTGTGCTTTTCTTCAGACCAAGTTTGAGTAGTGGTTGTATTGCTTTCCTTCGTGGCACGACAAAACCGCGCTCAACTAAAGCGTGCCCGATTAAACTGCGTCACTGACGTCATCAACAGGGCGACAACAGCCAGCGTGGAGAAAGAAGGGCGCTTTAAATAGCGCTTTGAAAGCAAGCCGATTCAAGTTAAGGTAAGGGTTAGGTTAAGAGTTAGGTTTAGGGTTAGGATTAGGTTTAGCGTTAGGTTAAGGGTTAGGTTTAGGATTAGGTTAAGGGTTAGGTTTAGGGGTTAATTTTAGGTTTAGCGTTTACAGCGTGCTTTTTTCTCCACGCTGTTGTCGCGCTGTGATGACGTCAGCTACGCGGTTTCGTCGAGCGCCCTTTAGTCGAACGCGGTTTTGTGGTGGAACCGCTTTCCTTTCGAGACCTCAAGGCTGTAAATTTCTGGATCAAATACCTGGGCAGTCCTCACCTTCCAGAATTTCTGCCACAATACAAATACTTGCAGTGAAAATGATAACATCACCTTGAAAGCACATTGAGAGATCTGGACCCATTCATAGAGAAACTACGCCATGTAGTAAATTAGGTGTGAACTCCCGGTTTATACATTAATCATTGAGAAGTCAGAAAAAGACTAGCCCTCCCACTTCCTTCTTGTCCATACGGCTTTGTATCATTTTTAAAATTCATTTACAGGTCATCTGATTCTACTCATTCCAGGAAGCTCACATTAAACAAGCTTCAGACATGACATACAGTTCATTCTTCACATTATCATCTAGGAGGGAAGAGAAATTTCATATTTTAATTATGAACGTTCCTAGCTTTCGCAGCTCCTGAAGTTGTATCTGAATCGAGACTCAAGTCAGTCATAAGCTGATAGTGCTCTTCTGAACAAGGCAACCACGGTCCGCACCTTTAAAACCTGCATTGAAAAGCACAGAGAAAAACACATCAGGGAAGGTGGCTTACAAAAACATACCTACATTTCAGATTGAAAAGTGTACAGACAATTTTTCATAGAGCTCTTTATAAAGTAGCAAGATGATGAGGGAAATGAGTCAGAATGAAGAAAAAGCTAGAACAAGAAATTGTGCAAAATAATTTGACTTATTCAGCTCATTGTAGCTCTGTCAGCAGCAGCCTGCATCGGGAGGAGCAAACCCTTATTCCTTTATTATTGCATACCTAAAAGTGCAAGGAATGTTTTTCTGGTTGTCTTTTCCATTGTAGGTATTACGAAGATATACAAATTGATCGTAAGTCTGGAGAAGCAAACCTAACCCAAATGTACTTACAGGTAATTTCACTCTGAAAACACTTGTTTCAAACCCAAAGATCCTTTCTGTAGTCCGGGCGATTGCATTGAAAGTTGCTTCCCTCTTCCAGGAAGCCCTGGATTTCATAAGCAGCCAGCAAGCCAGCCATCAGCCATTCTTGCTCTATTGGGCCATCGATGCCACGCATGCCCCCGTGTACGCCTCCAGGGAGTTCCTAGGCACAAGCCAAAGAGGATTGTAAGTTGGTTTTGAGCAACATACCCTTTCCCTTCCCTGTTGCCCCAAGAGAGAATCCCAAACCAGTCCTTAAAACCTCACTCAGTGGAGATGCCATGCATGGTTTAAACTGTGTGGGTCACTGAGTTGTAGAGGCTGGAGGGCATCACTGAGATCAGTGTTTTTCTGACTTGACAACTTTGAGATGTGTGGACTTCAACTTGCAGAATTCCACTGCCGGTTCTCGCTTCAGCATACTGCCTCTTGGCCTCTGAGTAAAGGAGTTTCTGCTGTAACACTGTAGTTATTTTTCCATACACCATGGCTTGGATCTGCAAAACGAGACAATGCCAGCTTGGAAAAAATCAAGGAGAAGAGAGGAAAGAAATGCACTCAACATTGAAGGACAAATTACGCCAGGCATGAAAATCTAGAATCTAAAGCCCATCAACAGCCACACCTAGCATTAAAAGGGCCGTTGAGGTCTTCCTTCTGGTTCTAAAAACCATCACCGTGGCCAAATTACACCAGGCATGAAAATCTAGAATCTGAACTTGACTTACTTGACTTGAGTCTTTAGCGTCGGTACGGCATCGCCAATCCCTTCGCTGTAGAGTCGCATGCATCCCGAATCAACGGGATCCATGATTCTAGGCTGAGTACTACNCAAAACATTGTTTTTGGCAAAGCCCACCTGTGCCTCAACACCTGCTCAGCTTTGTCTAGCTTAGTTTTTCTTTAAGCAGGTGCTGTTTCACCCTTCATGCCAACGTAATGCTGTATTGCACATTTAGCATTATCTGGCTGGGAAAATGACTTCTTTTTTAGTACGAACAAATTGCTAATCTGGATTAGGTGCCTTGCCTTTCTCACTGGGTGTAAAATAGGCACTGGAGGGTGATCTTCCCCAACATCAGAGGTTGTCTAGAACTGTGGCCATCCCTCTTCAATGGAGGAAAACCAAGAGACATTAAGTTTCCATAGCCTTGATGGAATGGCCAGTGGAGCACTGGTGGAATGTGGTCTGGATTCCCAGGCGGGCGGGGGGTTGCTATCTAGAGGGAAAAGGGGCAGTGAAGCTTAGATAGTTAGTTTAGGAAGAAGAGGGTTAAAATAACTCCTCCCTAGCTTTTCCCAGAGTAGATCTGCAATTCTGCAAATAGTTGCTCTATTCTGGCAAGATTCTGTCTATAGGCGAGGAACAATAAAGGAAGTTACTTTTAAGTAACACCATGTGTGGTTCTTGAGACCTGACAGGACGGATGCTGTGATATGTAACTTGACAATATCTGGATGGCCATTTGTTCCCCCTCCCTTGCTAGTCCAGTATTTCTCAATCTTAACAGCTTTCAGATGTGTAGATTGGTCAACCCCATGCTGGCTGGGGAATTCTGGGAGTTGAAGTCCACACCAGTGGTGGGTTGCTCTTACCATCGCTACCAGTATGCTGATAGTGGTCTGTCCATGCACGCACCTGACGTGTGCTGTGCATGGGCCTGATGTGCGCTGTACAAGCATGCGCAATCCACCGCCCCCGTGATACCCAGCTGTTTGTCAGGGTGCATGCAGGATCCACACGCTGTGTGCCTTTTGGCATAAAATACAGCTATAGAGTGCAGGTGGGTGGGCCAAATGAGCCACCGTACTGGAACACTCTGAGTTGCTCCAGGCCTCTACCGGTACGGTAGCAATCCACCACTGGTCCACACCCCTTAACATTTGCTGAGGTTGAGAAATGGCTTCCGCCTTATCCATTTTCACATCAGAGCAGAAAGCATTGGAAATCAGAAGCATTGCAAAGACAATCCCCGCCCACCTCCAGGCCCCAAATGTGCCTCCACAATTCTGCTGGGTTTCGAGATCTTGCCACGCCCTCCCCGCTTCACGAAAGAAATTGTAGGAGGCAACTCTGAAGCAGTGGTGAGGCTGTGGCTAATTTAATCTCAGGCTCAGAATTGTGTTTTTGTTTTTGCAGATGGCCTTGGGAAGAAGAAGAAGAAGAGCAAAGGAAATCTGGGGAAAAAAATCATCAGTTACAAAACATTTGGGTGCTTTCACTGCAGCTCTTGAATCCCGCAGTCCGTCGTCTCTTTTCCCTCCCTTCCCCTTCCAATACATTGGCGTTAAAATAACTTCCAACTGGACTTGGAGCTGAGCTAGAACATCGGCTGGTCTCCTCCGTTCATTTCCACCGTTTTCTCTCTCCTGGTTTAGAAACGTCTCCCTTCTCTCACTTACACACAGGATCCAAAACATGGTTATTTACACATACGGAGCACAAGAGAGGGCAGATATCTCCAGCATTATTGAGAGGCGGGGGAGGGGAGAAAGGAACAAAGGAAAAAACACAAAAAACAACACTACCGATTGTACGACTATAAAAAGATAGCCCTTCTAAAAGTTATTCAATAAATAGTAAAACTAGAAAACCAATTGCTTCTGTTAAAAAAAGTTTCGGCATAGGAAACCCAGGTGCTCCGTGGAAGCATTTCACCAAGTTGGCCCCCTTCCCAAGCTGGTGGCCTCCAAATCTACGCGGGGGTGTCGGATCACATCATCCTTTGGCAGTACGGGCTAGCGGTTATGAGATTTGGAGCGGTACCTCCGGAGGGCACCAGCTTGGAGAAGACTGCCTTGGCTAACTGTACCGGGATGGGATGTGGGGAGAAGATGGGGCTGTGTCCTCAGGAGAGCCTTTTCAAGAAGGACAGTAGAGAGCTCCTTCAACAGAGTCCTTCCAAGCATTGAAAGACCCTTCCTCCACTGTGCTTCTTCTGCCTGAAGGCCAAGCCGTGGTCAAGGCGACAGGCTCAAAGTGGGTCAACTTTTTCGGCTGTGCAAGAAGAGAAGAAGAAGAAGGCGGGAATTGGAGTAGAGGGCCTTCTGGAAGCAAGCAATTGATGTTCTCCTGCCAATCCAAAGAAGGTTGGGGCTGACCGGTGGGCCCGCAGCTTGTTTGGCCTTGAGGGCAGAGAAAGGAGGGAGTGATCAGCATGGGCCCCTGCTGGAAGCTTGGCCAGGCCTTGGGGTGGGTTTGTTGGGGGAGGGGGATAGAGGTAGGAGATAGGCTTGAGGAGAGGCAAAACTTTCCGACTGGAATGTAAGAAGAAATCTTCTAACAACCCCCTACTCAAACCCTACTCAAGGCGGCCAACGCTAGCTGCTTCCCCTTTCGCAACCATCGGCTTCTACATTGTGCTGAGGCAATGGTTGACATGAACCACAGTTGGTTGAGTTAAGCCACATGGGACTGAGGGTACCTGCTAAACTATAAACCCCGCTTGGCAAACCACAGTGGCTGGGTTCATGCTACACGCTAAGCCCAAATCGAAGGAGCCTTCCAGCGAAACCCAGTCCATATCCCCTCCTTCCGGAGCGGCCAGGGTCTGCGCCTTATGTGAACAGACCTCGAATAGAGCAACTGTGTTCGAAAGGGGGGGTCATCCTGCCCATCCCTTGCAGCTCACGATTCCCCCCCCCAATAGCCCAGAGGAGAGCAGCAATTGGGCACAGCAAACAGAACCAAGGCCTCAAGCCCCACCCCACCCCCACCCCTCTTGTCATGAGCTGGCAGCCCGGCGGAGAGAGCACAGCCAGAAGGAAAGTTGTGCTACCATTGCTGGAGAGGAGGCTGGCTTCTCCGGGGGGGGGGGGGGGAAGGGTCTGTGAGGAAGCATTGCTGATCAAGCTGCGTTTCCAAGGAGGGCAGGCCAAGGCATGGCAAAGGTCCCCCAGGATATCTTTTGTTGCCCTGCTTTCCCCTGCAGGGTTGCTGCATCAAAGGCAAGTTTATTGGGGGCCTCCAAAGACCTGGTTGAGGACTGCAGCATGGATCGGCTGAGGAATGAGGCTGTTTCTGAAAGCCAGCCCCTCTTCCAGCCCCACAACCCCTCAGTGTCTGTCCTTTGGCTCCCAAGGGACGTGGGAAGACTTCATCCTGGCCCTGTCCAAGGTGCTGTTTCCCCCATGTGAGAAAGGAAGACACCCCCCTCCCTCGCCCCCGGGGTCGAACCCTCCTTCCGACCATCTAAAATCCTGGCTTTGTTGGCCAAGAGATGTGCATTCAGGTGAGACGGGGGGGGGGTGTCTCTCTGGATATATAGGATATGCATAAACAATACGATATATTGAAAATAGTTGTAATAATATATAGCTCGTCCTTTTCAGAAGATCTGGATGCCAGCTGACATCCTGGGCCAAGCCGGGCTCGTTGGCTGGACCGTCCACAGCTCCTGGATCTAGAAAGTTTGTGTTTGAGCCACCTGGGACCAAAGCTCGCTCTGTTTCCCTGCGGCAAAATGTGACCCCCGGGCCTTTCATGGAAGGGCAGGAGCAGGTGAAAAGCCCTCGGTCCCTTGGCCTGAGTTGGCCCCCTGACAGTTTTCCTCGCTCGGCATTGAGCAGCCTCACTGGGTAGCTGAGGTGGGGTCTTTGCCGTCACTTTTCCCACTCTTGGCAGAGTTTGGCTTCAGTAAGATTAGGCGGTTCAAGAGGTCAGTTTCTGAGCTGGCCTGGGGACCAGGGTAGGTGTCACCTGTGGGCAGAAAGAGAGATTTTGTCTGGTTCAAGGCCCGAGTTCTGTCGTTATCAGAGGCACCTAGAAATTATACACCTGTCACATTCAACACTGAGCGGATAGAGTAGCAATAGCAATAGCCCTTAGACTTATATACCACTTCACAGTGCTTTGCAGCCCTCTCAAAGAGGTTTACAGAGTCAGAGTCTTGCCCCCAAGACGTGTGCGCGCATCCACGTACGGGCTCAGCCTTCCATGCATGCGCTTTGACTTTTTAAAAAGTGCCTAAATGGGATGGCATACAGCCGGGATGGGTGGCCTGGCCCACCTGCGATTTCCGCTACCAGTTTGAGCGAACCGGTGCGAACCGGCTGAATACCACCTCTGCTCCAAATGCTGTTTAGACGCTTCCCAGAATCCCCCTGCCTATCTGTTTTTGGAAAGTGAATGCTGGAATAGGCAAATCTTTGAACAGATTTCAGCAATCCTCTTGAAGGCAGGGCAAGGATGCCACAGGTGGGTCTCCTCTTGCAAGCAGATTTATCCCACTCTGTCAACATTGGAAGAGAGGAAATGGGAGTCCTAGGGATAAACTGCCCTCTGCAGAGGAATCAAGAACTCCAGGGACCACCAGTCCAGAGGTAGGTTGCTGCCGGTTCAGCCTGGTTCAGCCGAACCAGCAGTGGCGGTGGCAGGAGGCTCCACTCACCCACCTGGACACTTCTGAGCATGCGCAGAAGAGTTGCGCGAAAGAGCACAAGCGAACTGGTAGTAAACCAGTTAGCAACCCACCAGTGCACCAGTCTATCTCTAACAAGGGAACGGGACAAATAATTCTTGAGGAATGTAGGGGTGAGCAGAGTTCTAACGTCGCTGAGCCTCCAGGAGCACAAAGGCCCAATGATGCAAAAGTAGAGAGCTGAGATGCAGAAAGAAGAGAACAGAATAGCATAGCATAAAACAGAGTGGAATGGAGTGGCATGGCATGGCATGGCATGGCATGGAATAGAACAGCTGGCTGGGGAATTCTGGGAGTTGAAGTCCACAGGACTTAAAGTCTCCAAAGTTGAGAAACACTGGAATAGAAGAACCTAAAAGAACTCCCTGTGTTCATGACATCTGGCTTAAAAGCAGCTCTTTGGGCACATTAGCAGTTCTCCACAGTTGGTGGAGAAACAGAAGAAACATCCAGCAAGAAGATGTTAACCGTGTAGGAAATAAATACCGAGGAGGACCACGTCAACAAGATTGGATACTCAACTCAAAAGTATCCTGGCATTTTTCCTCTTCTGTTAATTTTTCTTTTTCAGAGTTAACAAACACTCTCTCTCTCTCTGCCACCTGCTAGCAAACTTTGAATACCGAACTTATTATATGATACTGGACTATGTTATTTGGATTATCCCTTAACT